TGGCATTGGTTGAACCCGTCTTTCTTGACAACTCGAGTCAATCTATCAAACCACGCCCTTGGGGACTGCTTGAGGCCATAAAGGGATTTTCGGAGCCTGCACACCATATTTGCGGTGCTGGATGATTCGAGTCCAGGAGGAATCTGCATATAAACTTCCTCTTCTAGGTCACCATTTAAGAAGGCATTCTTGATGTCTAGTTGATGGAGTGGCCAATCTAAATTTGCAGCCAAAGAGAGAATAACTCTAACGGAGTTTAGTTTTGCCACCGGTGCAAAAGTCTCTTCATAATCTACTCCATATGATTGAGTAAATCCCTTTGCTACAAGTCGAGCTTTGTACCGATTTACACTCCCATCTGCATTATACTTCATGGAGAATATCCATTTGCATCCTACCGGCTTCTTCCCTGCAGGTAGGCTTGTGATTTCCCAAGTGTCATTCTTAATTAAGGCCTGAACCTCTTCCGTTACAGCTGCTGCCCATTCAGAATTTTGGAGTGCCTCATGGATGTTGTTTGGAATATGTGTATTGTCAAGGGCTGTTACAAAAGTCTTGTAACTTTGGGACAATTTTCCATAAGATACAAATCTTTCAATGGGATGTTTGGTACAGGATCTTACATTTTTTCTCAACGCAATAGGAATATCAATATCAACATTCACATAGTTAGGAGCAGTATTACCTGAGGGAACGCCATTTTCTGGAGTCTTGGAGGTTTCTTGGTTCTGCCTTGGAGTTGTGCAGGACTCTATTCCCTTCTTGTTCTTCCTGGAGTACACTTTCATGTTGTTTCCTGGTGCAGTTTCTGTTATAGGGGCTGTAGTTTCTACTGCAATTTCCTCTGTATTTTCTAACGTAGTTTCTTCTGGTCCACATATAAGTTCTGCAGTTTCTGTTGCATTTTCATTTGGTTCAGGTGTAGGTTTTGATGCCTCTGCAGTGAGTTTGGGTTCAGTTAGCTCAAGTTCCAAAAGTTGGGATTCTACCACTTCAATTGGATATGTGTTCTCCCCCTGAATGCCAACTTTGGGGTAATATGGCTGATTCTCAAAAAAGGTTACATCCATGGTGTGGTAGAATTTTTTGTTTTGAGGTGAATAACATTTGTATCCCTTTTGGTGAGGAGAGTAGCCGAGGAATATGCGTTTAATGGATTTCGGGTCAAGTTTACTGCGTTGGGGATCAAGATTATGGACAAAGGTTGTGCATCCAAATATTTTCAAAGGAATAGATGTAAGAATACGATTGCTTGGGTATAAGGTTTGGAGAGTGGAGTAAGGCGTATGAAAGTTAAGGATTCGGAAAGGCATTCTGTTTATTAGATAGGTTGCAGAGAGGACAGCTTCTCCCCAAAACTGGTTAGGTACATTTGTAGCTAGCATGAGAGATCGGGTTACTTCTAGGAGGTGTCTATTCTTTCTCTCGGCAACTCCGTTCTGCTGAGGTGTATCCACACATGAGGTTTGGTGTATTATTCCATGTTGCGTAAAGTATGAGCTTAGTGCAGAATTATAGTACTCACGACCATTATCACTCCTAAGCACTCTAATTTTGCTTTGAAATTGTGTTTGCACCATGGTATGGAAACATTCAAATATCCTACCAACTTCCGATTTATCTTTCATAAGGTAGACCCAAGTGATCCGTGTGTGGTCATCAATAAATGTGACAAACCATCTTGCTCCAGTTACATTTCTGACCCGCGATGGTCCCCATACATCACTATGAATAACATAAAAAGGTTGGGAAGGTTTATAGGGTTGAGGTGGGTGGGGGCTGCGTGTATGTTTGGACAATTGACAAATTTCACATTGAAACAACTTCTGATTTTTATTGAATAGTTTAGGAAGCATTTTTTCCAAGTACATAAAATTTGGGTGGCCTAGTCTATAGTGCCACAGCATTGCAGAATTTTCACTACATGCAGAAACTACAGCGCAAGAGGTTGCCTCGAATTCTGGTTTAGATGCTTCAACCTGAAGGATATAGAGTCCAGCACATTCTTTAGCATTGCCAATCGTCCTCCCCGACTCCAAAATTTGAAATTCACACAGGTTAGGAAAGAATTTAGTGATACACTTCAAATCCTTTGTAAGTTTACTTATGGACAGCAAGTTACAATCAAGTTTAGGCACATACAGTACAGTACTGAACTAAGTAATATTTTGCGAAATAATGACTGAACCTTTACCCATGACCTTAGAAAGGGTACCATCAGCAATTCGAACAGTCGAATTATTTTGACATGGAGAATAGCTATCAAAGACAGTCAAATCTCCAGTCATGTGATCAGATGCTCCTGAGTCAATAATCCGTGATTTTTGTTTTCCCCTGCTAGTGTTTAGAGCATGCAAAAAATTACCTTTTTGTGCCACAGTAGCTGTACTAATTGTTTGTTGAAGCAATTTTTGTAAGGCTTCCATTTGCTCCTTGTTGAATGGTGATGAGTGAGAATTTACCTCAGCTGTGTTCCCTCTGCTGTCCCGGTTTTTGCTCCATTTTAGCTCTGATGGCTTTCCATGAATGATCCAACATGTGTCTTTGGTATGACCCGGTTTCTTGCAGTGGTCACACCATGGCCGTGTTTTCTTTTGGAAAGATCGATGATCTCCCCTTGCTGCCATTGCAGATCCTTCTATAGATGGGGCTGCACTGGATTTTCCAAGCATCACTTTTCTCCTGCTTTCCTCTCTTCGTATTTCCGAGAATGCTTCTCGAATTTTTGGAAGAGGTTTGGTTCCAAGGATTCTCCCACGAACTTCATCAAGTTCTGTGTTCAAACCTAAGAAATTTGTAGATTCTATCTTTCTCCACCAATTCTTTGTACTTCTTTTTATCCTCTATGCAACTCCATTCAGCTTCATCATATACATCCAGTTGCTGCCAGTGACGATTGAGAGTATTAAAATACTCTGTGACTGAGCGGTCTTCTTGACGCAAGTCATGGAGTATGCTCTTGATTTCAAATATTGCAGATGTATTGTCGACATTAGAGTAGGTTTCCTTTACGGCATCCCACATCTCTTTGGCAGTATCATAGTACAAGAAATTTTCTCCAATTTCATTTGTCATGGTGTTTAGCAGCCATGACATTACTAGACTGTTTTCTAGTTGCCATTTTTCAAGGTTGGAATCCCCCTTTTTTGGACACTTGGAGTCTCCTGTGATATAACCTTCCTTCCCTTTTCCTTGAAGGTAGATTTTGACTAAGCGCACCCATTGATTGTAATTCTGGCCATTCAGTTTGTGACCAGTGATAGGAAGAGCATGTCCTTCGGCCAAATTGTTGGCTGAATTTTCTGCTTTAGTATCTGCCATGGGTGGTGCTTAAGGTTTAGGGATGGTTCAGATCTTATGCTCTGATACCATATAGAAATACGTTGTATATTTCATTATATTGGAACTGTTACATTGTGAGGTATATATAGAATACAGTACACTAATTTGTTAATAAACAGAGAAATAATTTCCTATAATTGCTGCTACCTAAATAAGGAAATCAGAATAAAAGATAATAAATCTATTTACATCAATGTTTTGTAACCGCTTGACAAATCAGAATCAAATGATTATGATTTGATATGTGTTAATCTTCAACAGGTTTCATGTATGACTAAGTTTCTTATATTTTTGAGTCAATAATCTATTTCCTTATAGTTTAGCATTTAATGAATCTGAGTTTCTATTTTAAACTGCTTAGTACAAAACACGAGTTAACTTTTTTATTTAGACTTTCTTGATTTTTTCTGATACCTCAATGTTTTTTAATTACCAATTTTGCAGTGCTTAAAGCTCCCGGTGCAAAGAAAACTTTGGGTATTCCTGAAGTAGACAAACCGGTATAAGGAGGAAAAACAAGAAATAATTAAATTTACTAGTTCCTTAATTATGCCATAAAACATATGTGGCAAATATGTTTAGATTTTGATGTCATATTGTATTTTCATCCTTGGATTGAGGTGAAATTTGGAGCTTAATTAAGATAGATTTTGCTGCGGAAGCTAAGTATTTTCGTTAACATGTAGATTATACATTTAGTTTCTTAACATGTTAGCATTTTACTCTATATTTATTTATTCATGATATATATTCACAAAATACATGAAGGATTTAAAGCCTGGGATACAAGCATAATTATCATTGTATGCTGACCATTTTAATGATATAGATTTCTGTGTCATTATCCTCATAATTATCCAATTACCACACAGTTTCCCCGGTGAGTTTTTAAGTTTGTACTCATTTTTTTATTTGCCTTATTATGGCATTATGTTTTTGCAATTATTATGCTATTTAATACAAAAGAATTTTATCGCAGAAAGCACTTTCCATGATTTTAAGGAAGCATTTTGTCTTTGCAATATATGATTTTTTTGTTTTTGTTGTCTTTATTTGCCAATATTAAAACTCAGAATGGGATTGAGTTTGATACATGACGACAAATGAAGAACATGAAAGTGGTATACACCATAAAGCAACGGGGATTAAGAAATCCTTGGTTTCACTTGGAGGGAGAAAATCTAGAAGGCACGGCATTGGTGATGCTAAACTTTAATGAAGAAACTTTCTCTAGGTTTGTCATACTCTCCTTTATTGTTTTCTTTTTGTTGATAAAATACCATTTTTATTGCCGTCTCTTATTTAGACTAGTGTTTTGGTGATTGGTACAAAGAGAACAGGTAAGGAAGCTGAAATAAGTAAATACAAAATGTATGTATAAATATATATTATATATATATATAGAACAAATTAACTAAAGTAGTCAAGCTTCAAGTTAATTCAAGTTCATAGAACAAATTAACTAAAGTAGTGAAGCTTCAAGTTAATCTTCGCCTGTCTGGTGGAGTTCTTGAAACAATTTTTCAGAACTCTCCAACCATGACTAGCTCCTATAAAAATTAAGAAAATAAATATCTTCAAGTTGCCAATAATCAGTTTTAATATACAAATGGCTTTGAAACTAGAAAAGGGGTTCATGATGATGGGTAGGGCCACTTTTATTTATGGATAGGGCCACTTTCAATTTCCTTTGCTAGTTCTCTTGTTAACTTGTCAGCACGATCATCATGTCCGCCAGCAAATGTGTAGACACGGAATACAAATTGGAATGCCCTCCAAAGCATTTTTGCACATTCCTTTTTTGGAGCATTGCTCTCACGCTTCTCCTACATTAAGATCAATTTATGCAAATAAACTTAGTAGGCTTATCGATAAATATTTGTCGTGAAATTAACACGTGCGCGGGGAAAGTCTACTTTGTTCTAACTTTGATATATACCTTAAGTACTAACTCCATGCAGGTGGAGGAAACATCCACCATTGCTTCCTTGATCTTAATAAGAACGTGGAAGTCAAATTCAATGTTGTGACTCTTAAACTTTTTAGATTCATCATCTTTGGTTCTTTCTATAGCATCTAATTCTGTTTTAATCTGCATTTTGTTGCAACTTTGATGGTCAGAATTCTAAAATTAGTTGTATTAAGGACCCAAAGGAAAGTAAACAAATGTACATGATGATTTTTTTGTTACCTTGTTGAAATAACGTTCAACCTTGTCTAGGAACTGATCTATAGGAGTCTCTACCTTCCAATTTTGAAGTTCAGTACGGATTAAATCAAGCTTTTTGTACAATGATGCTGCCATTCTAACAGCTTCCAATTTCTTTGTAGGGAAGCCTTCGAATCGCGATAGCACCTACACAGAAACGAAGTTGTATTTAAACTATGGTCAATGAAACAATAATTAGTGGAAATGTAAACCAAAATGGATATGAATTTTATTAACTAACCTGTGATTCATCAGTTAGATTCTCGAGGATGGATTCAACATCTTTGTGGAAATTGCTTAATTCAGTCATGTTATTTGTCTTGAAATTAGTAATTTTAGGTCGCAACTCTATGATTTGTTTTGTGTACTTTTGAACATCTTCTTCTATTTGGATGAAGTAGGAGGATCTAATGAAAGTAGGAAAAGAGAAAACATTAAGAAATGAGACATTTGGTTCCAACATTTGTATACAAAGTAAACAAAATATAGTATAACATAAACACTATTTCCCTCCGTTCCTTTTTAAGTGTCGTTTTAGAAGAATTTTTTTTGTTTCTATTTAAGTGTCGTTTTATAGTTTAATGTTATAATTTGTCAATTATACCCTTACTTTCTCAATAACTTCACTTCACATTTTCCATAAAATTAATTTTTTCAAATAGTTATTGGAAAAAGAGAGAGTGTATGATTGAATTTATTTGAAAAGAGAAAAATAAATGAGGGTATAATGAGAAAAATAACTCTAACAATCCACTATCTTAGTTGAAGAGCTTTATGCTAAAATGACATTAAAAAAGAACGAGGGAGTATCATATAAGTGTTTGTATAAGTTAGAGTTTAGGAAAATAAGCTGAAAACAACAGGTAATAAGTTGTTTTTATAAGTTTTTCTAAATAGTTTCACAAGTGTTTGTGCTAGTAGATAAATTCAATTATGTCAGTTTAAACAAATTATGGTGTTGTGGGTGGTATAAGAAAGATACCTTTTAGTCATCTCTGCTAAAGCATCAGCCATTCCTTGTTTCCCTCCATTGCTTGCTCCTCCAACAGCACCTTTCTTCCCAGCAGCAGCTGACTTTCCATTTAAGCTAGATCCTTCAACTTTTCCTTTAAGAGTTCTATACAAAGCGGCTAGTTGCATTGACCTTTTCAATTTAGTAGTTGCCTTGGCGCGCAAGGTTTTTCCTGCTCCACCAGGAGGAGGCGGTGGCGGTGCTCCTCCATTACCATGTGGTATAGGCGGTGGAGGTGCTGGAAATGATCCTCCTTTCATAGGTGGAAGAGGTGCTGGAACTGCAGCTGTTGTTGGTGGCGGTGTAGGTGCTGGAACTGCAGCTGTTGTTGGTGCCGGTGGAGGTGCTGGCATCCTTGCTGCTTCTGGCAGAGGTGGAGGTGGAGCTAAAGGTTGTGGTACTGCAACATTTGGCTGCAACATAGGCGGCGGTTGTGGAGGAGGTGGTGTTGGTGGTGATATTATTTTATTAGGCAGTATCATAGATGGTGCAGAAGGTGGTGGTGGTGGTGATGGTGATGGAGGGTGTGGGGGAGAAGATGAAGAAACAGGCATTGGTTTAGGAGATTGTGGCTGAAGTTGTTTAGGAGATTGTGGTTGAAGTTGTTTAGGAGATAGTGGTAGTTCCACTTCTTCCATAGCTTCATCATTTTTAACTGTTTTGTTATGATGATCATCCTCATTTGTGTCCAAATCCAACACAAGATCTTCCGTTGTATTCTTTATAGGCTTATTATCATCCACTTCCATTTCAGTTATTGGTTCCTCATCTATCTTTTCAATATGTGTTGGTGACATATTCGAAGGAAAACTCTTAATATCATTTGGACTTAACTTTCCAACAGCTTGAAGTCTAAGAGCCCAAAGAAGTGGCGACGCACAAGAACTTCTTGGACTTTCACCCGTTCTTGATGAGTATTTCATCAATTCAGGTAGGACAGACCTAGGCGTGAGAGGTGAAGAGCAGCAAGAGAAGCTACTCTCTGAAATTGAGGTCGAGCTGGATTCCATTGCAAGTTTTCGAAATGAACTTGACCTTGGAGTTGAACTTGGAATTGGACTGAATTCTTTCTTTTGTTCATATTCTATGTCAAACCTTTCACTTGCCAACTTCATCAAGTTATCTAGAGTCACCACCATAGTTTCACCTGCACAACAAATCACACAGCTTGAGAGCACGAATTGTGACAAACTGGTATTTCAAACCGTGCAACTCACAGGGAAAGATAACCGTCGTGATTTTGGATTATTAGCCTTTTCTCCCATTTCTGATATCCGAGTATGTTCTACAAATATCTAATACCAATATATAATCTGATATAATCTGATGTACGTGTAAAATATTTTTACATTGTCCACAAATATCTATACACTAATATATAATCTGATGTATGTGTAAAACATTTTTACATTGTCCGTGCATAAGATCATAAGTTACATACCCAATTGACGCATATTGTTGTTATCTTTGCATGTTGGAAATACAATATTGAGCTTGTTCATGTCATCATGGTCCAACATCCATGACTCTCCAAGAGACTTCAAAGCCTCACAGAAATAGGCCATAGCCTAGGATGAAAAAATTGTCCATATTTAGATTTTTAAGATGGTAACATTTCACCAAAAATTATATATGCAGCTACTTAAATGTTGAAACTAATTAATTACCTGATCAATATGTTTCTTCTTAATCTTTGACACTTGAGTTTTATTTATGATCTTTGGATACAACTTTTGTAAATCATGCAGGGTTCTTATAACTATCTGCAATGTGACAATTTAATAAAGTAAAAAACAGAAAGCAGGAATAATGAGAATTAATCAATGATATCATCATAATCACATACCTCACGCAATGATACAGAGCTGTTGCATGGAGCTAAGTCCATGATGTCTCTGAATGCCATGATCTTCTTATGAATCTCAACCATTAAAATCAATTGGTCTGCTCCTACAAATGATAACTCTATTGAATCTCCTCCATTTTCTTTGCTCTGAGCTTTTGAAGATTTCTTGGGCGTGCTAACACCTTTGATCACTTTCAGTCCCTGCAAGTGCTTATACGATATGAATCAATCATGCTTCGGCTAAAAAATCATAGAGAAAAATTCGAAATGAAATGATTCTACCTTCCACCTAACAAAGTCAATTTTGTACGGTTGAATTAGATAAATCTAAAACCATAGAAATAAGAAATTACGGTTTAAATTTTACCTCTAAAATACTAGCTTTGCGACGAAGCAGCAATGGCTTTAAGCCGCAGAATCCCACGGCAGCCATGCCTAATTCTTGAGTCGAAACTCTGGAACAAAAACTAATCATGTTAAAAAACAATATTGAATTTGAAAAGAAAACAAAACTATTATTCAAAATAATCACAATTAAGGAACAATTAGCAATGAAATTATAATGTACAAACCTTTCAGAAATAAAATTTCAGGTTGGTAATAGAAAAATTGGAGACATATGCATGCATACAAATGCATGCATTTAACGTTGAGAATTGGAAAAAAAAGAAAAAGGATGAGAATTTGAATGGAACTTTCTCAAAAGAGAGAGAGAGCCAAGAATGGAAAATGAAAGAGGAAGGGTTATAATGGCACCTTCCCCCTTCTTTTTGTTAGATTAGTTTGAGTTTGTTTTTGGTTATGGTTTAGTGTTTATGTTGTGTTTTTCATCATAAACGTATAACTCGTGTATGAAGCTTCAAATGTTGGCTAGTTTCTAAAAATAAGGGATTGTGTTAAACCCAAACAGATTCTTTTTTTACATTTTTCTATATTTAAGGAACTTTTTTCTTTCAACCTAACAAAGTTATAGGGTGTCTTTGTTTCAAGTTATCAAATTATGTTTCTTGGATTATTATTTTATAGGAATAATATTCTTATGTGTTTGGACAAAAATTATATTTCTTTCGAATGTTTACAAATTTATTTAATTTAAAAATTATAAAAAATAAAAATAATAATAATTTGTGAGTAGTAGGGAGAAATTAGATATAATTGAGTTTATTTCATGAGAATGTTGGATTCCCTCCATATAACCATGAGAATAATTATGAAAAAATTATGTTTAAACAACATTTATGGAATAAAAAATATCCGAAAACAATATTTAAAAACTTGAAATAAACATAGGAATATTGCATTTTCATCGTCACATTTCCGGGAATCCAATTTCAATCCTTGAAACAAACACCCATAGATATATATTTGTGTTTGTGTTTTTTTTTTTTAATTATATATAATTTGTTATACCATTATTTTCTCATGATTTGATTTTCAGAATTTGAGAAATAACTAATTTCTTTTTTGTTTTCAAAATCAATTTACAAAAATTGTTTTGAAGAAATAATTTATACGGTGTCAAATACTTTATTAACTTTTTAAATTTAAATAATACTTCTTTTATTATTTTTAATTTTAAAATATAATCACTTTTTTTCTTTCTAAAAAAATATCTACATTGAATAACACATAAGATAAATTATAACCAATAAAATAAATATTAAAAAAAAATACAACCAATAAAAAATTACAATAATAACATTTTTTCTTTATCAATAAGAATAAAATTAAGGAGGTAATATTAAAACGGGTATAACCTAGATATAATTTTTTAGGTGTGGGATGAAAATAGGTTCCGCTAACTATACTTTGTCAAATTTAAGCCTGACCTGTTAAAAATTTCAAAATCTGAGCCTGATCTATAGTATGTTATGGGCTTATTTTTAGGTTTGAGTCTGACTTTTTTGAAGGTCTGATTAGCCTGTTAGCCTACTTAAAATTTGAAGATATATAATTTAGCAATTTAATCAATGTTTATATAGACAAAAATACTAAAAGATCAATAATACTAAAAGTTTGTTTGCATTGAGTTATCTTAACTTACTTAGTAACATAAATCTTGTGAGATTATTTTCTTAGAAAAATTTATGTAAATAACTTATAAATTTGTTCAGAAGAAGTTTTCATCTTATTTTTATAAGTTCTTCAAGGTATTTCTGTTTTATTTTCTGTAATTTAATTCAAAGTAGAAAATATAATATAATAATAAAAATAATTATTCATATTTGTTAATTCTCTGATTTTATGATTGACATTTTTAACATATTATGTTTGGTAAAACTAATACAACAACAGTATGTTAAGTACGATACATTAACTTATTTGGAGAACAAGTGGAACAAGAAGTCCTATTTTATGTTGAGACATATTGAGATGAGAAGTTCTCATCATCTGGAGCAAAATGTCGAATAAGATGTTTTATGCAAGGTCATACGACATCGCGTCTGAGCTGGGCTGGACAATTGGATTTTGTTATATTTTAACAAATGTAGAATACTCTAGGAATATTATGCAATCCTATATGGCGCTGAGTTGTACGTTTGGAAGATTCAATCAGAATTCAAGAGAAAAATATACTTTTTAAATAATTAGACTTTTTAGGAAAGATTTGATTGAAGATCTAATTTGTTGTAGAATCTTCTGCAGATTTGTAACAATTGATATGCTGTAATTTGAAACCCAAATTCAGTTGGGAGATAGGTTATAAATAGAAGCATTGTAACCTAGGTAAGGGTACCAACCGTGAATGAAAAGATGTAGTTATTAGGGTTGAGTCTGTAAGTCACTCTCTAGGAGAGTTGATATGTGTAATCCACTGGACATGTGAGTTGGACTGTGTTCCTTGAGTTATAAGGTTCTCTTCTCTTTGAAGCTTTTAAGCAAAAGTGAGTATTGTTCTTGGAAGAAGCTTGTAGGCAACTCTAAGTTGTTGTTCTTAGTCAAGAGTCTTGGCTATGTATTGTTTTAGAATCGAGTCTTCTAATATTGTCATGAAAGTGTGTCTTCTGGTTTTGTGTCATGGAAGTGTGTCTTTCTATTTTGATCTAATCGCTGTCTGTGATTGATGAGGGAGTTGAGGAGGGTCTCATACTTAGGCGAGTCTTAGGTAGAAAGTTAGCACAGGTAGTGATTAAGTGAGAAGTTGTAAACAAGGGAATTTAGTTTTGAATTGATACTATTATATTGGACTTTATCCCTGGCTTGGTATGCCCCTAAAGTAGGAGAGCTATTCCGAACTGGGTTAACAATTCTGGTGTGTTGTTTATGCTTTTCAGTATTATTTTTATATGTTTATATCTTGCCATGTTTGTTTAGATCGGATTCAGATGTCTCAACATGTCATAGGACATCTGAAGTCTGATATATCTGAATTTCAATATTTATTTAAATAGGTCGGTCTGATAGGTTTAAAAGACTTTTTTTGATGGCATGAGGCATAACCTTTTTAGCTAAATAGGCTTATAAAAAATCCTAGACTTTTTCTATTTAAAAAAAAGTTTGGTATGTCCTGGGTCTGTATAGAGTAGGCCGTAGGATCCTGTTAGTTGGCCTACCTATTCTCACTCTTAGGTATGATTCTTATTATTTCTAATAAAAATATGACAAATATACTTAAATATCATTTAAGGAGTAAAAATAAGAGTAACCTGTATATGTGTAATAGAAAATTATATATTTATCATATTTTCATTGGAAAATAGTAAAAATCACGCCTAAAAAATTGTAGAGACACATTTGTATTTATGAAAAAAGATGAATAATTTTCAATTTTTTTATATTTCAAAGTTATATTATATTACCAATATGTCATTAATAAAAATTGTATAACTTTTATTTAACTTTTTTCTCTTTCTAAAAGTGAAAATCAAAACCTATAATTTTTTTTAAAGTTCAAAACATATGAATATGATATTGTTTTTAAAAGTAATTTTGTAAAATTAGATAACTAAACATACATTTTATTATTTTTGAAATTTAAAATCGAAAAAACAAATTTATTAAACTAAATCATACAAGTCCTAAAATTTTGATTGCTTTTCACATTGATGTTTTAAAACTGGAATCAGTGATCGACTTGGTCAAGATATTAGATCATTATAAGTATGCATGACAACAAAACCCGTATTCGCAGGTACCCACTCGAATACACCCCAAAGTTGATGGGGAAAATCCACTTTGATAGAGTTTGAGTTTGAGTTTGAATTTTTTCGATTAAAAAATATGAGGACGAGTCGGATAATAGGAGTTGTAGTACTCACTTCGAACCCGCCCCATTTATTTCATTATGTACATTATTATTTATGTTTGGTAATTTAGAATATTAAATATATGGACAATATTTTGATAATTTGATTTGTATTTACTATTTAAAATATTTGAAATGTATGTATAAAAATTTTTGAGATTGTTTTATGTTATTATTTATAATGTAATTTGATTTTGGAAAAAATAAATATTTTTATTAAATAATTGATTTTATTAAATAGATGATGGCGGAACGGGGATATTCGAACCCAACCCGAACCTGTTTGGGATAAATTTGAGTTTTAATTCTTCATCTCTGTTTGAGTTTGTGGTGGAGAACAAAGATTGTTTAGTTGGGATGAGTTTGAGTTTTAATTCTTCATCTCCGTTTGAGTTTGTGATGGAGAACAAAGATTGTTTGGAGATTCAAATTTAAATTTGGAGGAGGTAAATACCGTTCTTGACCCGCTTCATTGTTATGTCTAATTATACGGCCGAATTACTAGAAAATTTGTATGACTACTGACATAACTCCTATGAAAAATAAACTGAAAAATATATTTTTTGAAATTTAATTAATAAACACTTAAATATGTAAATATTTTATACTATCAATTATTTTATAAATTAATTATAAATGTTAGATCTTGAATTATATTTGAACACATATAAAATAATAATTATAGATGATTGTGATAAACAATGTCTATATTTTATATAAAAAGTCTATACATAATAACTAAATATTTAGTATAAATACTTTACTTCAGTATTATAACAAAAACATTTAAAAATAAGATAAAATTTAGATATAATTCTTTAGGTGTGATTCTTACTATTTATTAAGGAAAATATGACAAATATATTTAAATATTATTTAAGGAGTGAAAATAAAAACAATTTATATATGTGTAAGAGGAAGTTATACATTTATTATATTTTCATTGGAAAATAGTAAGAACCATACATAAAAAATTGTATCTAAGTTTACTTCTTAGAAATAAAATAAGCGTATAAAAATATATTTAGTTTCTCTACTATAATAATATATTATTTTAATATAATTGTTGACTTTTATTTGTTGGAGTTTACAACTCTATTGATGCACAAGAATTGAAGATGAAGATGAAGATGAAAGAAAAGTCTCAAAGAGACAGAGAGAGAAAAATTGAATCGTAACAAACTTTC